CATGCCCATACATTGCCCTCGCGACACACTTTCATCCCGAATAGTGCAGTGTCGCCCCACAACTGCACCTTTAGGCCAACGGACCCTTGTTTGCATGGTTGAACCTAAGCCATGCTCGCAAGTCGACACATGATGACCCTATGACAGGTGCGTCAAGTATCCAATCGGCACGGAGGTCTCCTTCCAACATTCGGCAACCTGCGGGGCTGGCCGTCCCACGCATCGAACCTCCAGCGCCACTTTGATGCCCAACGCTAGCCCGAAGGTGTCGCGCCGTCCATAGAGTTCCCAAACTCGTATGGATACCTTTGACACTCCTTTGAGTCATTTAGGCAGGCCTTTGAGGTTGCCCCCAAGGTAGCTCGTTCTATACATGGGGGAGGCAGGTCGGAGCTTTCATCACCTATACCCCTTATATATGCTTAAAATTTAAAAGCCCAAGTTGCCCGAGTAGACAGATCTACGTCAGACAATCAGAAGAGCCTTTTCTCACCAGTTCTTGGCCAAAATCACAACTCCAAAGTGCGAGTTGTGACACGAAGCTTCTTAAGAGGCATTGTCTGGCCATTAAGCCTGATTGCTTGTCAAGGCTATTTCAGCTACCTTATAGGAATCTCCTTCCGTCAAACTTGAGATGCCTTCCATGTCTGGTCTTAATATTGAGTATGGCTTCTTTTTGCCTCGGTGAAATTTGAACCAGCAAATATTGATATGGTATTCTTAGAGTGACAACTTCTTTTCCTTAGAATCTTGATACGATCAATCAATCAATCAACTATGCTTCAATCTCAAACTAGTTTTAGGTCAGAATCTGACTCCTATGTAATTTTCTTTATTCCACCCACGTTCCAATTCTGGAATGATAATAGAAAAATGATCTCCGATACTGCTTTATCTATTTAATTAAGTCTGAGATAAGTACAAAAGTTAATGCGTAAGAATTGTTTTTCACACCTTCCATTTCCTCCTCCTTGTCCAACATGAGTGCCTAAATGTGATGTAAATATTTTCTACTAGAAAAAATGGAAGGATGAGGATGAGGATTGTTGGTTCTTGTCAGAGGGATTTGTCATATAGTTCCTCAGAACTCAGTATATTGCTATATTTCGTATTTGCATTTTCAGCTTTTGTGCCTTCATGCTGTTACCTATTCATTTTTGAACAAGCTTTTCTTTTTTGAACAAGCACGCTGTTACCTATTCATTGTCCTCCTATTTAAAGGAAGACTTGCTCTAGAAGATATCTAGTTTTCTTAAAAGCTTGACAAGGTGCTCAAAAGTGGTAGAAGAGATCTAACTTTGCTTAGAATCTATGTTGCTCGGATCCTCCAAAATGCCGCTAGGTGTGTGTCGGGTCCTCCAAAAGTTATGCATCTTTGGAAGATCCGTCTGATATGGCGGAATTTTGAAGGATCCAAACATAGCTTAGAACTTAGAAAAACTTTTCAGCTTGGTAAAGAGTGTTTCGGATGGGAAATTAGAAGAATGCACATCCAAATAGTGTCATATTTGCTGACCTTCTAAAACATAAACGAGGTTAGTCCTTCCTTTTCTCTAATCTTTTATGGGGAAAGTACATTTTGGTGTTTATATGCAATCACCATTGGCCTCTTCTTTTAAGCTTTAATCTTTGGTGCTTCCTACCAAAATGGTTGCAGAATGGTCAACTTTTAGGATAGCATATTCATAGAAGAAAGAGTGTGGGCAGACATTCAACTATATATATTTTTCGGTGTACGATTTGATTCACCTTTTGCTGTTTAAAAGTTTAGATTCCCAAAAGGCAAACTTTGACTGCGAGATCCAGAGAGTTGAGCAAGAGAGGTGGGCCTAGTGGAGTAGAGAACAGGGTGTGGGCTGGGCCAGGAGAGAAGTAGGTGCTTTGTTGTGGAACAGAACAAAGGAAAAGCAAAATCTGGTTTCTCAGTATGGAGAGAGTAGTAGATTAGGCCAGATCAAGAAAGAACTAGTTGTTCTTTTAAAAGAACAACATGATTTCACATCCAGAATGCGGGGTGTAATTTATAATGAAGATTGATTATGAATGCGGGGATCGCGAGGAGTGTATTTAAGTGAGGAGGAGGTCTTTGGCATGCTGCAACTATAATCAATCTTGATTATAAATTACACCCCGCATTCTGGATGTGAAATCATGCTGTTCTTTTAGAAGAACTAGTTCTTTCTCGATCTGGCCTAATCTACTACTCTCTCCATACTGAAACCAGATTTTGCTTTTCCTTAGTTTTGTCCCAGAAAACATGGCCTCCTTCATTAAATGAAAACTCTCTGTTCAAAATATAAAATAATAAAAACTTACATTACTTAAAACTTGATTTGACATCTTACCAGCTAGCTGTTCCACTTGGCGCTTGCCGAATTTGTCTAAAACAAACAATTTTCAATAAAACTTTATGTAATAATCTATTCAAACGATGCTGGTCAAACTAGGAGTATAGATCTCAGCATGATAATGCTGATACCACGGTTATAGCTCCTCGTGATTACATCTCTGTACCAACATGTTGGAGTTTTGGTATCTATACTTCGGGCTTGCAGTACGGTTTATCCTTACAGAGCTTTTAGAATTTCCTCATAACTCATTTTCTGCCTTTTCAGGATAATCGCGAAACACAAATATCATTGTCAAATGACGACATCCTGGGTGATGCAGTCCCACAAGATCAGCAAGATGATTTGCGACAGTTCTGTTATCAAGCACTGAAAATGACCCCAAGGGTATGAATTTTGCGGTCGGTTCATTTGGTGTCTTTCTTTGATAGTTGGATGGAATCTGTATACAATGATCTCTTCTGTTTATGCGCGTTCTATAATTTCTGGTCTTGCGATGGACTCACTTTCTGTTCTGCAGTTGTGATTTCTGCAAAATAGTGATTTCTCTTCTGTTCTATTCTAACTCTTAAGTCCTTTTGTATTTGTCTTTCAGGGCAGAGGCACACATTTTCCTGGCTCACATCCAGTCTCTCTTAACAGGTTTGATTTGAGTCATTATTCAGGAATCTGTAACTTTATTATATGTTTTTGCTGTAATAGTCATGTGTAACCTTATGTCTAGCATTTTGTGCTTAGCCATGCATACAAGAAGCCGCTGTTCACCCATTGATTGTAAAGAACAAGTAAATCCTCACACTTTGGTCCACCTAAATCTGAATAGTAAGTAGGAACTACAAAAAAGTAATTATTATATAAAAAAGAGAGAATATTGTACATAAAATTCCATTCCTGATACATGACATTTATCTACATTTCCTGGATGGTGCTGAAATGACGATAGAAACATTGCTTTATGATGTAACATGTTGATTGTCTTTAACATTTGGATAGTGGCAGTAATATTTCGGACCTCTTTCATCACGTGGATGCGAGCAATAGCCATATATTTCTGACCAATATGGTATATGCTCAAACATTATTTCTCTTCAAGTAGATTTTTAGTTTAGGAGGTGTACCTAATACTTAAGGATTTCCAGTTGGCATATCAAGCTGAAAACTGTATTTGTAAGTGTGAATTCCGTTACTTGCAGAGAAATTTTATTTTGAGCCTCACACAACCTACAAAATTTGTGTGACACTAACTTAACTTGATAAGTGGAATGTAGTAGCTCAATTGTCAGCCTTGTCTCTTTCAACATAGGTTCTTGTCCCCCCCCCCCC